TTTACTTTAGTATTTCGTCTCGTCACGTCCATACCCCCCCCCCCCCCCCCCCCCTTGATGTATCAATATCAAACGGGCGTAACACGAGTTAGGAGTTATGAGTTCGGACGAACCCAATAACTCATACACTGCAAATTCTGGCCTCGCACCTGACTTGGTACTTGGTGCAGATTCTACGAAATAAAATACAATGTGACAAAAAACTACACATGCCCATACTGAATGCTTATCCACAACTTAAATTGATTTCAGAATTTCTTACTTCCTCTCACCAACATTGCCAACACTAGTTGATCTCAGATTTTTTGTAATGGATAGCTAAGTTATATACTCTAACATGCATGGGTGATAGGACAAGTGCACTGAAGTATTTATTTCTCATTTTCTTGGAAAGATGGTATTATCCTCGAACTTTTGCACTAAGAAGTAATCTAGTTCAATACTAGGCCAACTTATATTTCTTTGGAATTTTTACCTTCTATAGCAAAGGTTAACACCTTATTTATTTTAAATAAATATCATTTAAAAAAATTATATTCTATAAATACCTTTTAATGTTTATAGCAAAATATCTAAGTTTGGTTACCTCCTACCCCTAAGCCACTAAATACGCTATTCAGTTACACCATTTTATTTCTCTCTCTACTTTGATACATGTCATTCTCTTCCCCCATCCCATTAAAATTTCCGCTCTCCTCCTCCTTCTAACGGCATCTTCTCTTTGCTTCACTTTAATCAATGCTTCAAAATCCAGCGACCCAATTCCTACACCATGGCCAAAACAATTCCACTCGATTCTCTTCATGAATAACACCAAAGGGAATCTTCAAGTTGTTGATTGTGGTACGATTATCCCAATGGCAGGAACTTCAACATTATCCAAAACCAATTGGGAAAGCCATAAACTCGAGGTTCGAGAATTTTTCATAAAGCGCTATCTTTTAGTGGTAATTAGCTATCTATAGATATCATTTGCTATATTACGGATTGTAGATACGTTTTCTGTTGTTATAAGATGTATTAGATGTATTTAAGCTACTGTATTCATGAATACAATAGCAAAAATAGGCGTGAATCAGGAAAGTCCACCTAATCAGTTTTTGTATTCGAGTGTATCCGACTGTATTCATGGCGTGAAACATGGGATTACAGCTGGACAGATTATTGTATTCGATTGTATTCACGGCGTGAAATAGGGAATTACACTATTTTTAAACGGAAAGTGTATCAATTAACATAATAGACTCCTAATATAACTCAACAAACTCAATTATAACACACAAAATTTGTATTTCCGATTATAAAAGAAGATTCTCAACGGAAAAATACCCCAAAAACATAGCAATCTTCAGAGAAATTATATAATACATCTGAATACATAAATTATATTAATTAAATAAATATATGAATACATTCATGGCATATAGCGATACAGTGAATACAATGAAATACATGGAATACAACGAGATACATTGAATTACAATGAAAAAAAGACAATGAATACAATGAAATACACAAAAATACAGCGTGATACGTTGAAAATACATTAAAATATATTAACAGACAATCAAGTTGCTCAGCCCCAAACTCCGTTGTCTTTGTTCAAGAACAAACCCTAATTTCTGAACTCCGCCGTCGAGCAATGGTTAAAGAATAAGGACTCTGTTAAAGCTTGAATCTTGTATTGAAGATGATGGAAGTTGGGAACCTCGAGTTTACCTCGAGTTTATCGCTTTCCAGATAGTGCTTTATGAATATTTCTCTATTTCTTTCTCTACTTTGAATAGACGTTCTATTGATAAATTTTGAAGGTAAATGGAGCCTATCATTGTTTTAGTTTCATATTGAATTTTATATTACATTCTATATCGAAGTTTTTTATGAGTCATTGTATATTTTATTTCATCAACGATATATGGTTTACCTGGAAAAGATTGTTGTTAGTTTAGATTAATGAAATGAAATAATTTATCGTGTATCACCAAGTTTTTTTTTTTACATTAATACATTTTAGTAGATTATATATAGGTTTGTCCCTTTTTTATTTACTTAAATCATGTGTTGAATGTTATTAGTATCCTAGTCAAGAACAATATAATTAATATCAAATGATATATAATTATGCCATATAAATGCCGAAAATTTTACTTCATTAAAATGAACAAAAATGAAAAAGAAAAGAATTGGCCACAACAGTAGTTAGTTATCGCAGGGGCGTACGCAGGATTTTTCGTAAGCGGTGTCGACATTTAAAGAAATAGATAAAAAAACAAATATAGTAACAATATCATATTAAAAAAAGTACCTTACTACAGCTCTCCTCGACGAGTTTTCATATTTTGGAAGGTATTCATAATAGCCTCATTAGGAATAAGACTAAATACATCCTTTTCTATATAAGGCACCAAACAACTACTCAAAAACTCATCATCTATTCGACTCCGCAAATCAGTCTTAATCAACTTCATTGCCGAAAAAGCTCTCTCAACTGTAGCAGTAGCAACTGGCAAAAGTAAAGCAAATTTTACAAGTTGAAAAATAAGAGGATAAGTCCCATGCTTCTTTGTCTCTACTAATTTCGTGGAAAGATTACCAAGTCCCCTAAGATCTGAAAACCTTTTATCATGATCTCGGACATCAACAATGTAATTCTGAAGCTGAAATCGAAGGTCGACCATAGAATATTTATCAAAATCATCAGGATATAACTCAGCTAATCTCAATATCTTTTCAATGTCAAAATTGGAAAAAGAGTCAGCTGGGTTCAAGCAAGCAACTCCAAGAAGCAAATCCGTTGTCACCTCATCAAAGCGACTATTGAGTTCTTGAAATTGCCAATCAATAATTCTATAAAATACCTCAACACGGTAGTGATGTGAAACAGTATACTCAGCAACCCTATGACGTGATCTTCCAGGGATAACATAAAGCTCGTTAAATTCAGGTATTGAAATATCATATTTCATACAGAATTTAGATACCTCATTAATAAGTGAATCCCAACCTTTCATTCGCAGTTCTTGCAATTGATCCTTTGCCACTCCAACAAGTAACATAGCATTTATAATATCTTGCTCCTTCTTTTGAAAGGCTGCACTAAGCTTATTTGTGATTGCTAAAATAGTACGCATTAAATGTAACATGAAGACAATTTCAAATGTTAAACATGCTTTAAGATATCCCTTTGCCTTACATTTTTCTTCAAAATGTGCATTAACAGCAATAGCATCAAGCACATCAATAATAGAGCCAAACATAAGGATAAAATTATTAAAGGATTTGTAATGAGAACCCCATTGTGTATCACCAGCTCTAGCAAGACCCAATTCTTGATTCAAGCCCTTACCAGTTTCAAGCTCACCTTTACGTAATGCCTCTTCTATTTCTTCTGCTTGAGATTCACGAAGTTCATCTCTACGCTTGAAAGAAGCTCCCACCATATTCAATATATCAGAAACCAACAATAAGAGTTCTTGCACTTCATTACATCTTCTAGAAACCGCAACAAGAGTTAATTGAAGTTGATGAGCAAAACAATGAATAGAATGAGCACCTCTACTTTCTTTTTGCATTAAGATCTTAAGACCATTTAAATCACCTTGCATATTGCTTGCTCCATCGTAGCATTGTCCATGTATATAAGATGGACTTAAAGAATGTTTAGTAAGTAAACTTACAATTTCATTCCTTAGCGACAAAGCAGTAGTATCACGAACATGAACAATGCCCATAAAGCGCTCCATCGCACTTCCCCTCCTATCAACATAACGCAGAACAATAGCCATTTGCTCCTTACATGATACATCGCGAGATTCATCAACTAATATTGAATAGGCTTTTTAAAATTAGGGTATGAAATAAGTAAACTCCAATGGATTTTATATTGTTTATAATTATCCTTTTCCTACTCAAAAGGGGAGAACGAGAGAGTTTAGTTTCTCTTTGTAGTTTGTCCTATACAAAATCAAAATTGTTACTGTTTTTGGTTAGAAAATCGGAATCGTTACAGTTTTTGGAAAAAAAGGAGAGTTTAATTTCTCTTTGTCCTATACAAAATCGGAATGCTACAGCTTTTGAATAAAAAGGACTACTATTCTATTGCTCAAAAGTGTAAAACGTTCGGAATGCAGTTGCTCGGAATCGAACCACAGACCATTTGCATAGATTATCGGCGCTAAACCATCAAACCAACTAACCCACTCTGATGAATCGGTGTCATTTTATTTTATTTGTATCTAATTGTTTATTTTGCATAGTATCAATTATATATATATTTAATAAAAAAATTTGGCGAAGCGGTGTCGTGGTAAATCCGCCCCTGTATGCTAGAACTCCAGTATATTATGCTGGAAGTTCATAGAAGAAAATTTCGAGCTCCAATATATTATGCTGGAATATTTTCCGAATTTTGAATAGTGTTTTTATTCAAAATTATCTTTACATGAAAAGTAACTAAATTTCGATTACTTTTCAATCTATGGCTATTTTTCAGTTACCACATGTAAATCTGGTTATTTTTCGATTTCACCCTCAAGGGATTGGTTGAACAAATTGACAGTTGACAAAATCAGCCAAACAATGCTGAGATATCTACCAAATGAAAAACTGTTTCAGAACTTCACCCGGTGTGAAATTAGTTTAACCATCTAGCATAAACTTATCGATTTATCTTAATTTTACAGTTTATACCTGTTTCATGTTTAATTTTGTAATTTCTTCAGTCTCAATACTGAATCTCCATTGTTTTAATATATATATATATATATTTATATATATATATATATATATAAATAT